TTTTGGCCTTCACGCTCGAGCGGCTGGCCTGTCGTTGTTGTCTGTCCGCTCGAGCGGGGTTTCCGAAGCTCGAGCGTAGTTTTCCATCTTCCAGTATCTCCTCTGCAGTGTTGTGCGCTCGAGCGGGAGTTTTTGACGCTCGAGCGAGATGTTGTGTGTGACGCTCGAGCGGGAGGTTTGACGCTCAGCGGAGACCTGGTTCTGTAAAAGTTCTGGGAGTGTGTATCCGCCGCTCGAGCGGGATTGTTGACCAGCTCGAGCGGGAGCTGTGAGTGACGCCTCGCGCGGGAGTTTGACGCTCGAGCGGGGCGACTGGTTAAAGCTCCGTGTTTTTGGCTTTTCAAATCACTTTTTCCACATTCATTCTCTCTCTTACTTTTCCAAAACTCCATTGTTGAGCCTCTCTCTCTAGAACCTTGCCTCTCTCTACGGTATTGATCTAGTTAGAGTTGTTTCCTCACCTTTGGCCTTTACAAAAGTTGCGTTGATCGTCGAGGGCTACGTTTGATCCGAAAATATCGAGTTTTGGAGCAACGTTGAGTTCTTCATCTTCACCCTTGAACTCCGAATTTGAGGTAGGGATATCCTACTCCTCTTATGAGTTATGTCTTTAAATTTTGGCATTTCGATAATGTGGGAGTTGTTTGGGTAATTTTGAGAAAGTTCGGCGTGTGTGTAACTTTTACAAAAGTTGGGGTTTTGATCATATAAAACCTAAATGCATGTTTGGCATGGAAAAAGTGAAATTAAATGTTAAACATCTAGTGAAAAAGAACCAAAGGTTTCGTGATGTTAATTATGGATTGCCACTAATTACATTAGTTAATTAAATTGTATAATAATTGTTGGAAATGAGGAATGTGAATTGAAGAATGTTGAAATCGGGAATGTATGGAACTAAAGAGTGTGGTTGGCATCAATTTATTGCTCACTAATTGAAATTCGATTTAATATCCTTTTGTGCATTTATTTTCTACTTTAGAAATAACTTGCTTTGGGCTATTGTGGAGGATAGTCTTGATTGTTGTAGACAATGCATGAATGATTAGGCAAACTAAAACTAACCGAGTAATGTGTCCCAGAGTAATTGACGGGAATTGAA